CTCACCTCAGCCTCCCAAAGGCGTGGGATTACAGGCTGAGCCACTGAGCCCGGCTCATGGTAAACATTTTATTGTTGCCCTAGCTTGATTGAATAGAAAAAAATGCCAGCAGTCTAGAATTTCGGTACATTTCAAATATATTTTATTGCTTTTCTTTTTGTCTTAGAAACAATACGAAACCTGCATGCAAGCTAATGGTTTCGGACACGTACATAGCATATAACACAGCAGTACAATGCAGTGTATACTGGGGGGGCTGTGGGGGCATTCTTAAGAGTACACAGGGCAGGGTGCACGGTCATCTTAGCTTTCAGAAGAGGACTGCACTGCTTAACATCGAAGAATCACGTGGGGAGTCACACGCATATTGCTTCAGTACTGCATGTTCCGTTGTGGTCGGGGAGAGAAACACGGTTTGAAGGTTTTCCCCTGTCAATAGAATGTGTGTCTGTAGCTGTGTACTGTGCATGTATTCATATATTTTTAAGTTTCCTCCTAAGGTTTTTGCTAACAGCATTGGGGACTTCACACGCTTCCAAAGCATTAAATGCTAAAGCTGTGACCCTTTCAAAAACTCTCAGGTTGGGAGAAAAGACCCCACACTTTCTTCAAGGGTCGTTTGCCTCACCATCACAGGATCTTGGCCATGTTTCCTAGAGTGTGTAAAAATTAACCAGGGGGGAATGAAAGACATTTTTTTCTGGCAACCAAACTGGAGTTCCTCAGAGAACAGATGCAGGGAGACCTGCTCCTGCTTGCCCAGCTACGGAGACACTGTGGAGTCACACTGAGGCTGTGACCTGCCACAAGCCCAGGAGAGCCAGTGGCAGCTGTGCCGAGGCGCCAGGACCTCCGAGCGGAAGCTTCCCAAGCTAGGAACGGAACAGCACTGCAATGAAATGTCTCCACCAAGCTCACTGTTCCTCCCAGGCGCTTATAAAGCTCAGATGTGTAGTGATGTATGGACAAATACAAAAAAGCATTTTTTTTTGTAAAGGAAAGGCATGAGTTTTCCCCCTTTTCAGTAAAAAGCAGCCTGTGATGAAGTCTGGAGCACAAGAGAGATGGGTCTCACATCTGGAAGCCTTTCACACACAGCTATAAAATGTAAAAACTGACCCTTGGTAAAAAGTGCTTCGTAACAATATAGAATTTGCGTCTTACGCCTGTGAGAAAGAAAGGGTTTTTTGAAAATCTGCAAAGTCCTCTACTCAGGTCACCCAACCGATCTGGAGTCTTCCTATCCCAGATTTTTCGCCCTATTCTTCGTAGACCCTGGGAAGAGAAAACACACGTGTAAGTGGCTCAGGACACGAGGCAGGCGATGCACAAGTTGTTGGCTGAGTGGCTTTATGTCCTCGGGTAGTGCCCTTCTCCCAGGACAGCAGGAGCCCAAGGAAAGTGGGAGAGCCTCCTCTGAAGATGTGATCTCGGGGACCACAAATCTTACACAAGTCTGGCTTTGTCCTTTCTAGCCATCTTCTACCTCTGCAATCTCGTTTTACCTTCAAAGCCCTATGGAGCAGACCCTCTTTCCATATGAGGAAACGGAGGCACCACAGACTTGAGATTTGCCAGTGACCACTGCCGCTAGTGTGGAAGTGAAGTCTGTCTAGCATGGCGGGCTGTTCCCCCTTGTTTTATCCTCATCAGTACTCAGTCACTCTTCTTAGGGAAAATAGTTGGGGAGGGCTGGCATTCTCTCGCTTGGCTTAGGCTTGGATCTTTCTTTGTCTTTGGCCCAAGGAATGCATGTCCTCCAGAAAAATGCCACTTCTAGAAGCTGCTGCCTGAAGACAGAAGAGGTGGCTGACGGGGCTGAGGCCATGGTGGAGGAGGCCTCTGCCCCTGGGTCCCTCCTTTGGGTGACATTGCCTTATTTCTACTGGTTATCAGGTCAGTGTGTGTTCACAAGCCCACATTTTCCCTCACCCTACACCCTCCAAGATGTCTCTACTTAGGTTTTGGGTTTTTTTTTTTTTTAGTTGAGGTCTCACCCTGTTGCCCAGGCTGGAGTGCAGTGATATGATCACAGCTCAGCACAGCCTTGACTTCTTGGGCTCAAGAGATCCTCCTGCCTCAGCCTCCTGAGTAGCTGGGACTACAGGAGCACATCACCAGACTCGGCTAATTTTTAAAGTTTTTTTGTAGAGACAAGGTCTCTCTATGTTGCCTAGACTGGTCTTGAACTCCTGGGCTCAAGCAATCCTTCTACCCTGGCCTCCAGGAGTGCTAGGATTATAGGCGCGAGCCACCGCTCCCTGCCCATTTAGGTCTTTTACTTCCTTCTAATTCTGCCCTGTGGCTGCCTTAGGGCCACACTTCATACTCACACGGACACTCGGACACTCCCTCTGCTGTGTTCCTGATTTCTCAGTGAGCCCACCTAATTATGCATTGAAATGAAATGCCTGATGTGGTTGCTTCCTGGGCTGCTGGAAGCTCTGGTCTCCGAGGTGCTTGGAGCTTCCTTATGTGGCCCCCATGCACCTGGGAGCATGTGCTCTTCTTCCCTTACCCTAAGTTCAGTGCTCGCTCGCTCTCTTTCTCTCTGCAAAGAGGACTTCAAACAGTTTGTCTCCATTCTTCATTCATTAAGACATTTTCAACCTTTTATGGGGCAGGAAGGTAAGAAGGACCAGGGCCTTCTGCTTCCTTCCCCAGGACACCTGAGACTCCAAGAAAGAGGGATGAACTCTTCTTGTAATGAGTTATCAGGCCCTCGGGAAGGCCTGGTAACTGAGAGACTCGTTGCGCTCCATGTGGGATTTTGCAGAAATTAAAAAGAGCAGGGCCACATTTAGACTCACGGGTACCTCCTCTTCTTCCAAGCTGCAGCCCAGGGGAGGGGGAAGGCCAAGGAATGCAAAAAGTGTGTGTATCTCCCCCTCCCCCTGCAGTCAGTTCAGGGTGTCCTCAGCCTCTTCCACGGGCTGGCCCTGGGGTTATCCTTGCTCTACTTTTGATGACACAGGGCCTGGAGGGTGACAGAGAGTAGACAGGGCAAGTCCTGATTTTGCCACATGAGCTGTCTGACCTGACCAGATAGAGGGCTTCAATCCCATCAGACTTACAGAAAATAATCGCTTGTTCTCATCACTTTCTATTTCAAGCAACTGCAGACGAGGCAGTTTTGGAGGCAGCAAAAAAAAGGTCCAGGTACAGGGGTTGGGCCCGAGTGTCGGCCATGGGAGAGCTGGTTATAGGACCAAGCGCAGGGTAGCACAGCTGGGCCAGATGACAGGAAGGGCAGTGCGGCCACCCACTGTGGCTGCACCTTTCACCCTGGGGAGGGGACCAGTGGCACTGGGAGGCCTAGTTTCCTGCTGTGGCTTTGCCCTGTGCTCCCAGGAAAGTCACTACTCACTCTGACTTAGCCTTGGTTTCCGCTTCTGCAGGAGGAGGTGCTGGCACCAGCTCTTGGGGAAGTCATCTGCATGAGCGCACGTGTGTGTGTGCGTGTACATGCGTGTGTGCACATGTGTGCAAGTGCTTCCCTGATCATGCTAGGCAGGTAAAGGTGTAAACAGGCCCTGTGCATTTGAGCCATGGACCTATTCCAGGACAGGCTTGCCTTCACATGGTCCAGGGAGCCAGGAAGTGGCTCTGAGGACAGGCATGGGACCCTGGGGACCAGAGCTGGGAAAACAACTTCTGATTATGGGGAAACAGAGTCTAAGGATCACAGGGGTCTGGCCCAGGGCACTGGTCATCTCACCACTGCTGCCCGCCCTGGGTGAAGAGTGGCTTGATTTTAAAGGATCAAAGCTAAGGTCCCATCTGGAACCTGCGAAAGAGGGAGTTAATCAGGTTTCTGGGCAGCAAGGGGGTGGGACACCTTAGGGAGAAGATTATGTCACTGGTAAGGATCATCATCATCATCTCGTGGATATACCACAGCTTCATAGTTAACGGTTAGTCTCTTCAGTGGTCACATTTCACTCCATAAGAGCCACAGGAGACAGCCATGCCAGGTGCTCACCCAGCCACTTGACAACTTCAGTGACTTAAATAAGAAGAGGAATGAAGATTATAAAATAGTTAGACTTTAGTCCAAAAAAGGATAAACCTGTGGTGTTTACAACTGTATAAGAGAAGCATGGCTTGTTTTGTTAGGTGGTGAGTTCCTCATCTCCAAGGGTGTGTAAGCAGTATCTGCGCATCTGCTTGCTGTGCATGTTGTGGTGGGTGTTCATATATTAGATGGGGTTAGATGACCTGGTGTGTGTGTGTGTGGGGGGGTCTCTGTCCACCCTGAGAGCTGCAGCTGGGCCTGGGGGAAGGTGGGAAAGAAGGCAAGGGAGGGTGAGTGTACCTGCGCTTCTCATTCCAGGCGTTGTACCACTTGATGAACCGCTTGGTGCTCTGCAGCTTGGGGTGCAGGCAGTGCTCCTGGCCTCGGTACCTGGACACACTCTTGGTGGTGATGCTGAAATGAAGTGAGGTGGGGCGGAGGGGTGAGAAGCCTGAATCACAATCCCTTGTGTGGCCTGAGGGTGGCCCCAGGCCGCACTAGGACACTGAGAGACTGTGGTGCTGGAATGGGCTTGGGGGCAAAGAGAGAGGCTGGAAGCGAGATGGAAAGAGTGGGAACATGGGAGAGAAGGAGCTGATTACCACGAATTACCAAATTTAAAGTGACAGGGCTTTTGGGACCAGTTCTGGAAGGAGCAAGGCTGCCATGACCCCAGTCTCCCAGCTGATGGAGAGAGAAGGTCAGATCTTGCCACAAGAATGGAGGTAACCTGTTTCCTTCCCAGTGTTTGCAGTGTCTGAGATCCCTACTAGGGCATAAGCCCCCAGGGGTAGGGACCGGCTAATGCCAGGTGATGGGGCCTGTCTTGACTGGGCCCTTCTGTAATACAGGTGACTTCTCCAGGTCCTGAGCATGAGCCAGGCTTCACAGTGAGCTTGGGTCGTGTCCCACCCGCCTGGCCTGGCACCCGATCACCCTGCAGGAATTCAGTGAATGCTTTTTTCTTTCTGCCTCCAGGCTGCCTTTGTGCTGAAGGAAAGGACGTGGCAGTGTCTGAGAAAAACCCTCGTCTCAGTTAGGTCAGCGTGCCGCGAAGCATCCCAAATCCTGAAGGTCAGGGAGAGCAGGAAGGGACGCTCAGCCCTCCTACCCGGTGCGCAAATGCACGTCATAATGCTGGGATTATGAAAATCGCTTGTGGAGTGCAGACATGAGGATTTATGACCCCAGCAACAGTCAGAAATTCTGAGTCCCGTGACCCTCTCCTCAGCAGTTCTGGGGTGCTGAGGGTTTTGGTGAGTGCTCAGTGGACAAATGACGCAAACTGCCCTTTCTTGGATCTGGACTCTCCTGGATCCTTCTGGGTGCAAGAACTACCACTTGCAAAGCAGACTGCTTCACCCTGCCCCTTCCCCTGCCCCCACCCCCAGCCTCGGCAGAGATTTCTGGGTGACTCAGGGTGAGCTGGAAAACTTGCTTTTGTTCAGGCTTTGTGGCAAAAAAAAACCTGGTTTGGCGAAAAGTGCTGGCCCCTCATCTGATCTAGAGAGTCCTAGGATCTTGGGAGGGAAGAGGAGCCTCTAGTCCTTCAGGGGTGGGAAGGGAGGCTCTGGGGTAGGATGGAGGCTTAGGAGAGGGTGACTGTGCTGGTCTCCTGAGGCCCCTGCAAGTTTTCACAAGACTGCATAAAGCCTTCTCATGCACTTGCTGGTTGCAGTTTTCCTCTATATTCGGATAAGATTAGGCAGGAAAAGAGCAAGCCTACTGATTGAGGGCTCTGTCCTTTTGAGATACCGCTGCATCCCTTACCCTCCTTTCTTCCCCTGCAAGGCCTCAGGAACTCGCTTGGTATATTGAGTACTTTTCAGCTCTTAGATGAGTGAAATTTAACTTGCAAGGCCCCCGTCATTCTCAGCCCCAACCTGGAAGCTCCGAGGGGCTTGGAGTGCCTCTCCCAGCCCACTTGACTCTCTCTCCCACCAAAAAGGATCCCCGGGCAGCTTTTTGGACTGGGTCTGCAAGGCAAGAAGTAGGGGCCGGGAGGTTAATTTAGGTGCCTATGAAGGAAGGCGGTGGGGTCAGCTCAGGCCCAGTGGCTTTCCAAATTCCCCTAACTTTCTGCCTGATTGTGCAGTCCCTAGGCGGGGGAATGTGGATGCCGGGCAGGAGTGTGCCCTGCTTTCACAGACACTGTGTGAAGGCCTCTGGGCCAGCCGGTGGAAGGCACTTGCCCAGACTGAGAATAAAGTGCATCCTGTTTCTGGGGGAGGAGAAGAGGGGCCAATGGTCCGTGGCAAATATTTGGTAGCTGCTTTGCCAAGGGCTCCCTTCCTGGCCAAGTGCGTATTGATGGGGCAGCGGCGGCGCTGGCCTCAAGCGGTTAATTGGGAAGGCAGAGGCACAAGGAAACTCGGTGTTCTCTCACTCTGCCCCAGTTTTTCCAACATTCCCCGCATCCCCACCAAGCAGGGCTCGGGCCATGTGGCGTGTTAACCCCAGCAGAGCACTTTCCACAGGTCTGCTCGGGATGGGGACCCACAAGGACACACAGCTGGTGAGGGAAGGGCAGGAGCATTGTCAAAACGAAATCTCCGGCAGCCAGAAACCGGCCGGCCACTGGCGTCTGACAGGCAAACGACTCTGAAGGGAGAGTCAGGATTTAAGAGAATGTTTGCACTCCGGTGACAGCGAGGCAGCATGCCCAAGGTCTGGGTGTGAGTGCGTTCTCGGTGATTTCCGTCTAGGCGTTCTAAGAGGGCATCCAGGAGCCGTTTAACCCTCGATGGCCCCTGGCACAGTGCTCATCCACCCCTCTGAACCCTAGTGAGGATGAACTCGGAGATGCCGTTTCGGAGCACGGGACAGTGACCCCCTTTCCCGACTGTCTTCCAGACTGTCGCGCCAGCGTCCTGAGGACTCGCTGGGCAGTTACAAAGGCTTCGCCAAGGCTTTGACAAAGGCAGTGAGAAATGTCTCTCAGCCCGACCCGGCTCCGGGCTGCACCCCAGCACCCAGTTAAGAGTAGCGCGCACACGCCCAAGGCGAGGGGCGAGAACTCACATAACCATCTTCTCCTCGCAGTGCGGGTACTTTGGCTTCACTTCCAGCTTCTTCACGTCGCTGTAGCGGATCTTGGGCCCCTTCCGGGAGCACTTGCACTTGGACCCTGCGGGAGAGCGCGCGGGGCCGCTGAGTCGCGCGAGGACTCGCCTGCCCTTTTTCCGCCCCGGGTGCCCGCCCAGAACACGGGATCCTAGGATGCCTCGAAGTTGGCGCTCGGGTTCCCCGGGCCGGGACGGGGCGGTGGCAAGGGGACTTCCCCGCACTCACCGTCCAGGCGCGCGGCGCACAGCGCCAGGAGCAGCAGGAGCAGCGCGGCCGCCAGGAGCCTCATGCTGGTCGCAGGGGCGCGGCGCGGGAGCAGGGACGCGGGGAAGGCGCCGACCCGGAGACGCCGCCCGCCTCGGCTCTCTCGGCTCGGAGCGTGCGGGCTCGGCTGGCTCGGTCGGCTCGACGGGCACGGCGGCGCCGTCGGTGGGTGCTCGGGGCTGGTTGTCGCTGTGCGCTGCGCTCTGCGCTGGCTCCGCGCTCTCTCCACAGCCTCCCTCCGCCCGCCCTGGCCTCTTTTAAATCCGCTCCTGCCCTCGCAGCGAGAGAGCTCATTAATATGCAGAACCACTCGGTGACTCACTGAGATTTCTCAATGTGGTGGGGGGAGGAGACCTTCCCAGCCCGCCCGCCGCCCGCCCCGGGACGGACGGCAATCGCCGCGGCGCACGCCCGGAGCCACGCGCGCACACGGACACGCTCACACACTCACATCCGCCACCCTCCCGCGCCCGGAGCGCGCCTCCTCCACACGCTTACATTCTTCCAGTGCCCCGCTCTGCCTGTGGGCGTCCAGGCGGCGAGGAGGCTTCCGAAGGGCCCTGCTTTTCTGACTCGCGTGGTTCCCTCTCTGCCCGGGCGGACCAACTGTTCTGAGCCGCTGGGAGACCCAGGCCTGGGGCCCAATTCCTCGGAGAAGAACGGGTTTTGGGGCAGAGGCCAAGCTGAGTGCCGGCAGGCCTAACCCCTAAGGCGTGGGCGGTCCCCGTTGGGCCAGCAGCCCTGGTGGCTGGAGCATAAGGCCAGGTCTGGACAGGGGCTTGCCATAGGTTATGCAGCCACAGAACCATTGCCTGCGGCTGCTGGAACTGACTCAAAGAGAGTGTGTGGGTGGGGGAGTTTAGGGACTCCCAAGGAAGGCTCCCTGAAGTGGATGGGGGGGGTGGGGAGAGTCAGGGGACACTCCTCACTGTCACTGTAATCTCTAAAGTCAGGCAGAGCCCCGCAGGGAGTGATGATGGTGGTAACTGTGCAGGTCCTGCCACTGTGCCAGGTGTAGGGGTGTGGGTCCCACTGCTTACCTGCACAAGTGACCCCACCACTCTAAGCCTTGATCTCATCCTCTGTAAAGTGCAGGTAGTCACGGTACTTGTCACAGGGTGGCGGTGAGGACGACAGCAGATCATGCATATAGAAGGCTGTTATAACAGGATGCCGGACCTGCAGTCAGTACCCAGGAAATGTTACTTATGGCATTGTCACGATGTATAATTTATCTATATGTTTATACATATATGTATAAATATATAAATTTATACCAATATATTTATTTAAAATTGTGTATTTATTTTTACATGTTTAAACTTCAGTCACCTTCAAAGTACTCTCCATTTGATGCAATATGTCTATTGAGATACTTTTTCCACTGTTCAAAACAGTTTTTGAACTCATTAATTTTCATGCCTTTCAGTGTTTCTCCCATTTTTGTTGTTGTTGTTTGTTTCACCTCTTACACATCAGCAAAACCTTTCTCTTTGAGGATTTTTTTTTCATCCAGGGAACCAAAAAAAAAGTCATTCGAGGATGACATGGAATGAATAGAGAGGGTGGGGCATGGGGATCATGCTGGTTTTGGTTAAGAACTGCTGGACACTCAGCGCTGTGTGGGCAGTTTTGTGTTATAAGACACCCATCATGCCACAGTGGGTATGTTTCCTCTGCTAATTGTGACACAATCTTCTCAAAACTTCCAGATAGAAACTTCAGTTGGCCATCTGATCTAGAGGAACAAATTCTAAGTGTACTACAAGGGGCCCACACTCCAAAACATAATTCTGTTTTTTTCCGTCCTCCCTTGTATATATACATATACATAGATGCATATATACAGAGGGTGCCAAAAATATGTAAACACATTTTAAGAAAGGAAAAAACTGCATTAAAATTATAATATTCAGCCGGGCTTGGTGGCTCAGCCTGTAATCCCGTGCTTGGGAGGCTGAGGTGAGTGGATTGCCTGAGCCCGCGGGTTCGAGACCCGCCTGGGCCGAGACCTCATCTCTACAATAAATCAAAAACTTAGCCGGGTGTGGTAGCGTGTGCCTGTAGTTCCAGCTACTTGGAAGGCTGAGGCGGAAGGATCTCCAGAGCCCAGCAGGTCGACGCTGCGGTGGCCGGGAGCGGCCGCTGCACTCCAGTCTGGGTGACAGAGTGAGACTCCAACTAAAAAAAAAAATTATAATATTCAATAATATGAATACAAGTCAAGTTTAATTTCTGCGATGATAAGAGGTACTCAGAGGAGTTACCACCAGCATCCAGACACTTCTGATTGCAATCTCTTAACATTGCTTAAAGTGTGTATACTTTTTTTGGGCACCTTTGGTATGTATATATAATATTATTTTTTGATTCTGGTTGTACTTTTCTTCCAAGTTAGTACTTTTAATTTCTTTATTTGAGGCATTGGAAACATTCTCAGAGATAAGAAATAACTTGCCCAACGTCACAGAGCCAGGAGGCACAGGTGAGTAGGGCAGGAGGATCCCTGGTATATGTGGCTGCAGAATTGGGACTCCTGTCCCTGGGCGTTTCACTTTGTGGTGAAGTGCTGTCTTGAGAGACTCACAGCCAGGGGATGGGGTCTCTCAGGGTTGTGGGGTCCCTGGGCTTGGCTCTCAGGCCAGAGCTTGCCCAGCCCTGTGTTTCAGCCGGACAGCTCCCTGTGCCCAGAGGGTGTTCTGGAGTGGGTGAGGGGCAGTCTGCTGAGGGGTGGAATAAGAAGAATCTGTGTTGTCTCTTCCCAATTGGAGAGCCTTTGATGCCTCAAAGGGAAGCAGAGCCAAACGAACAAGCAGAGCCTATGTGTGCTGTCATGTTTATCCTTAAAGCAAGGTTGACAGTCAGACATTTGCATTTATGCGAAGCTGAATGCCAGGGCATGATATTTGACATCTCTGTTAATTTTTGAACTCTAAAATTATTTTTTCTTACTATAGAGACAGCACATTTTTTATAGAAAAATCAGAAAACACAAGCAGAAGAAAACATTAAAAAAAAAAACCCAAGCAATTCCACCGACTCAGAGATCTATACCAAAATGCTAGCTATGTTAGCTTCCATTCCCTTTTCCTTTGCTTTGTGTGTGTGCACGCGAATGGGGTCAGGCTGCATGTTTAATAATCTGCTTGTTGTACCTATCAGCATATCACGGACACCATTCCATGTGGCTAATCTTGCTTTTACTCTATCTCTTTTAATGGCATCATTTGAGGCTGTGTGGTAGAATGACTAAGAGGTTGGTATCTGGAGTTAAACTGCCTGTGTGTGAATCCTAGCTACTGCCTGGGTAAGAATCCTAGCTATTATCTGGATGTAACTCCTTCCTAGTTACTGCCTGACTGTGACTCCTAGCTACTGCCTGGGTGTGACTCCTAGCTACTGCCTGGGTGTGACTCCTAGCTACTGCCTGGGTGTGAACCCTAGCTACTGCCTGGGTCTGACTTTGGGCAAATGAATATACTCTTTTAGGTATTGGTTTTCTCATCTGGGAGATGAAGATGATAATGATACCCAGAGCGTGGGCAGAATTCAATGAGATGATGCATGTAAAGCTTTTAATGTGGTCCTCAGAACACAGTAAGTGTTCAATACGTGCCTGCTATTGTCATCTTTGTTTTGGATGTAGACTACTTCATTGTACAGATGTGCCATAATTAACTGACAACTCCCTGCTTGATGTTTGGACTGTTTTCAACCATATGCTCTGACAAAGTGCTGTGTGACAAATTTTCTTACAGCTCAATTTTGGGGTGGCTTTTAATAAGGTGGATTAGGTCTCAGAAATAGAAATATTAGATCATGAGACTTGCCTGTTTTAAGACTTTTACTACAAACTGCTACTTGCACTCCCCAAAAAGTGTAATACATTTTATCCTGCAAAAGGAATTTCTTGATTACCAAGCTTTTCTAGAGCATGTAAAATATTATTTTTTTATTAACACAGTTTTATTTCTAACATATTTATTTAAATAATGTGCTGATTGATTAAGTGGAGTCTAACAGCACCAAGGATCACGGGCACCAAGTTTTTATAGGAAAAGGTAGTTGGTCCTAGAATACTAACCAAATTTTCCCACCTTCCTAGACAAGACCAGAGGTCAGAGGCTCCGGCTTTTTATCCCCAGTAGTTTTTCTTGGTCTGTGTATGCTGATCTCTGGCTTGCAGAAGGCAGCTGCTGTGTCTTTGCAAGCAGAGGTGACCCCTTGTGTGTGTGTGCTTTTCTGGAGCTGTGGAATAGGGGAAGGTACAGCCCTGCTGCCATGGGTCTGTGTAGGATGCTGCCCAATGGGGCAAAGGAGGGGGCTTAACCTCTGACATACTTTCAGGGTGTAGACTCTCTAGTGATCCCAAGCTGGGGTCTTTTTTTTTTTTTTTTTTTTGAGTTGGGCTCATTCTGTTGCCTAGGTTGGAGTGCAGTGGCACAAACATGGCTCACCACAGCCTTGACCTCCTGGACTCAGACAATCCTTCTGCCTCAGCCTTCCCAACTAGCTGAGACTACAAGTAGGTGCCACTATGCCAGGCTAATTTTTTGATTTTTTTGGTAGAGATGAGGTCTCACTATGTTACCCAGGCTGGTCTCGAACTCCTGGGCTTAAGCAATCCTCCTGCTTCAGTCTCCCAAAGTTCTAAGATTACAGGTGTGACCCACTATGCCTGGCATGGGGGTCTTTTGAGGGTAAGTGGGCATGGGTTAAGTTTTCTTTGCACAGAGGCACCGCCTGGTTCAAGGAGGTCCACTGGGGTACAGCAAAGGACAAGCCACACACCCTGCCTTCTGGAGCACAGCCGGCTATGTGCATGCATGTGTGTGCACAGGTATGGGTGTGAAGTGCCAACAGCCATAGGCACCTCACACCCACAGGTTCTACAGAAGGGTTCTACAGAAGGGGGTAGACACAAGGTGTGGGATACACAGAGGAGGGAGGAAGTGTAATCAAGACACCACACCTTGAGGGAGTGGAAAATTTGCTGAGATCCTGGAGATTTGCTTATCTCTTCGGTTCACATTTATTGAGCACCCATTTATTGTGCCAGGCTCTGTGCAAGGTACTGGGAGTTTAAGGTGAGCAGAGGCAGATGTGGGCCTGTCCCCCAGGAGCTCAGAGTCTGGTGAGCAAGTCAGACATCAGCCAAAGAGATGAATGTTAAAGTCCCACATGGGGAGGTGTGCTGGAGGAAGCTGGTGCCAGGAGCCGCATCCTAGGATCTGACTACTTGGCTTCCCGGAGGTGGGAACGGCTTCCTGGAGGAAGGGGCCACTGAGTTGAT